ATGTGACAATCGTCAATCTTGAGTCAAGTCAAGTCATCAAGTCAAGCCGGTCAACTCTATTAAACCTTGTGTATTAGGGTTGGTGTTATGTTCGTATTGTATAACTTGCTATATTAATGGGAAAACATCACTAGAGAAAAGTTTTGTGTTAAAAATTTTCCTAAGCCTTAGTACTAATCAGTGAATTAAACTGATGAAAACCATGTTGCATACTCATCGGGAATGTGTAAGATCCTTAAACAAGGCTTAACAGGGTTTACGAACCATGCATTGCGGTGCCGGACACTCACAACTGTCCCACATGGATCCTCTCTCAATCGTTTTCACTCTATCTCTGTCTATGTCAAATCTCTCCTAAATCTCTCCAAGTATGTGAAATCTCTCTCAAATATCTCTCTGTATGAGAAATCTCTCCAAGAATGTCAAATCTCTCCCAAATCTCTCTAAGTAGGTGAAATCTCTCTCAAATATCTCTCTATATGAGAAATCTCTCCAAGAATGTTAAATCTCTCCCAAATCTCCAAGTATGTGAAAACTCTCTCAAATATCTCTCTATATGAGAAATCTCTCCAAGAATGTTAAATCTCTCCCAAATCTCTCCACGTATGTGAAATCTCTCTCAAATATCTCTCTGTATGAGAAATCTCTCCAAGAATGTCAAATCTCTCCCAAATCCTCCAAGTATGTGAAAACTCTCGCAAATATCTCTTTGTATGAGAAATCTCTCCAAGAATGTCAAATCTCTCTCCAAATCTCTCCAAATGTGAGAAATCTCTCCAAGAATCAAATCTCTCCCAAATCTCTCTCTCTCCAAAAGTTTCCCGTAACTTTTTGGAATCATTCGGGTCATTCCGGCCCTTAACCGGGTCAAAAACGGCTTAAAACGGGGCGAAAACGAGAAAAATAGGCTTTAGGAACCGAAACCGGAATGAGAGGCTTCTTAGGACCAGAGAGACCGAGCCTCTGGTGGCTAAGAGAACAGAGGCCGAGCCTCTGGTGGCTAAGAGAACAGAGGCCGAGCCTCTGGCGGCTAAGAGAACCGAGACCGAACTCGCCCAGGAGGAACCGAAACCGAGAGCAAGAAGCAGGAACCGAAGGAACTGTTCACAACCGAGCGGTCGGTCCCTCTCGGTCCGTCCCACTCTCTGTTCGCGCCGCACTCTCGGTCCGCCTCCGCCTCTCTGCTCACTCTCTGCTCCGCCTCTCACTCTCTGCTCCGCCTCTCACTCTCTGCTCCGCCTCTCACTCTCTGCTCTCTTCTCACTCTCTGCCTCGCGCGCTCCTCTGTCCCCTCCCACCTCTCGGTTTCTTCCCTCCTTCTCCTCTCCTCTCGGCTCCTTCCCTTCTCTCTTCTTCTTCTCTCGGTTCCGCCTCCCTCTCTCTCTCGGTTCAGCATAAGAGGGCCGAACCTCGGCCAGGCTTCGCATTTTTGTCATTTTCAGCCCATTTTTGATATTTTTAACATTTTAAGCCCGTTTTTCGTGATTTTAAAGCGGGATTTTCTCCAGAAATTTTATTTTAACATAATAAACCCTAAATATTCATAATTTAAACATATTTTTATAAAAATCATTAATTAAATAATAAAGATTTAATGGGGGATTTATTTAAGGTAGAGTGTTGACTTTGCCTTAACTTATGACACAAGCAACCACCCCACACCCACTCTATGACCAGCCATACCTCCCCACCTTACCTATGTCACTTCAATGTTCCCTTACACTCAAATTTCACTCACTCCCACGTTTTTGAGCTGGAACAAACAACCACACTCCTCATTTTCTCTCATTTCTCTCATTCCACTAAGTAACAAACACCACTTTTTCTCTCAAACTCTTCTACACAAATTTTCGAGATCCAAGGCTGATTTCAAGTGTTCTTCCACACTTAGTAAGTAAAAATTCATCCTCCCTATTACTATTTCACTTCATTCTACTCAAATCTTTGGTTGCTTACACAAACTCCCTAACTATGATGTTAGATTCTCGAAAACCTTCAAGGCATCTCCAAGTGTTCTTGAATTAAACACTTCCATTCTTCAACAATCATCTACTGAAATCACTCAAGGTGAGTTCATACCCCTACATTTTCATGATTTCTCAAGTTTTCAGGGGGTGAATACAAGTTAAAACACTAAGAACCTATCAAAATTTTCTAACAGCCTTCATCAGAAAAGTTCAACTCCATTCACGGACTGTTTTGGGCATCTTAAATATTTTTGTTTTCAAAACTGTACAAGGTGCAAATAGTTCAAGTTTTTAGCTTTAAAATGGCTACTTGCACATCTCCATACGATTTTTCTACAATTTATGGTGATTTTTACAAAACTGCCTATCATTTCAAACAACAATCCGGACCAGTCTGTGATTATGGACTTTTTCACCAAGTTAGAGGTCATATTAATTTGTGATAAAAATTATGAGCAAACTAGACACATTTTGTGAACTCTCAGAATTTACGGATCTAATTTTCGACTTCGTATGATTTTTCTATGATTTTTCCAAAACGGGCAGAATTGCTAAATTTTGCCAACAGCATGTAAATATCATAACACTTTGTATTATGTTGAGCAAAGTGTATAATCATAAGTTTTAGTATTTGTATGTGTTTCCTTGTTAGATTATCATTATGAACTGAAACTAAGACATTCATATTAAATATTAAATATTATTCATTCATTTTGGAACACGTATTATTAGACTATAAAAAGTATAGTTTGATAAATTCACAATACTAATACATTTCCATAAAAGAATTCATACATATTACATACATTTTAGATAAACTATAATAGGTATAGTTTATGATACATCACTCAACGCACTCGTACAAAAAGGGTACATCCATACAAGAAAGATTTATATTCACACGCATTTCACGTAAACTTGTTAACCTATGTTGTGAGACTCTCTCTCTCTCCCCGTACGTCCGAGTGCGGGATATAATTCCTGGTAGTTATAATCAGAATCTCCTTGAGGGAGAACGTGATACTTGTATATAGATCTATATTGGGTTTGACACCCCACACCTTGCTGCTAGCTACAGTGGGACCTGCAGGTCTACGGGTGACAAATGTCATTTCATTTTCGCGACGCCTGAGAAACGTTGTGGCAGGTTCACATAGTCACAGTATGATTATAGCGACTCACTTAGGGGATAACAATTCATGAAGTTTACGGGGTTTCATAAAACCGAAGTAGGTTTTAGGTTGATAAAAGAAATTTACTTTCCATAACATTTTAAACTCACAACATTTTACTAAGAAACGATGATTTCTCATACACTCTAGTCTTTGGTTATAAGGCTACATTTCTCGGATTTCAAGGGAAATACCGGATTTTTCTGAAACAAACGCGACATTTACATGTGAAATACTCCTACTAAGTTTATTAATAAAAGCTTATGAACTCACCAACCTTTGTGTTGACACTTTTCAAACAACTTGTATTCACAGGAAAACACTAATCAGGTTATCAAGTGCTTTTGAGGATGGGACGTTAAGGCGTCAAACTTTTCATATTTTGACAACATATTGTAATTGATTTTGAAACATGTAATTCATACAAGTGATGTAACTTTTTCAATTATATATATGTTGGTTGTGTTTGCTTAAATTACTATTAAAATTGTGGTTATGATGCTATACATGAAGTCCTCCACCCCCGGACGTTTCCGCCATCCTGGTTTGGGGGTGTGACAGATTGGTATCAGAGCACGGTTTATAGTGAATTAAGTATGTCAACCACATAAGATATACAAACTATAAACACATTTGGGACTAAAAGTCTCTGATTCTTAAAGTGATTTAAAGAGTTGTACTTTTAGAAAACAAATAATTTCTTGTTTAAAGTATACTTGCATGCATTCTATACTAGCATGGTGTCATAACTTAGGAGAACATAAATTGAAAGAGGAGGAGTCGAACATTATTAATACGCCTTAG